CCTTCCCTGGAATAACGTACACAAGTTTTTTTACCTTCACTTCTAGCCTTCTCGAAATGTGGGTTGGGACCCCTCTTTTAATGGGGTTGCCTGGATAGGCATTAGACTTGCTGGACCCCGGGGCTGAGCCCCACTGTCCCGGGGCCGAAGGCCAAGGGCTTCAGCCCTGGGTGGCAGGGCTCAGGCTGTGGCTTTGCCCCCCACCCCAATCTAAGGTGGTGGGTGTCGGGTTTAGCCTCCCCCCCCACCCCAGGGATCATGTAGTAATTGTTGTTGTCAGAAGTGGGTCGTGGTTCAATGATGTTTGAGAACCACTGACTTAAAAAAACCAGACCAAAATAGTTAGGAAAACTTCATAAAAGGGAAGGGAAAAGGGGAACTGGAGAATGCATAATAATTTAAGTAATGTTAAGGAAATTGGTTTTAGTTAGCCTTGAGAAACAAGGTATTCACAAAAAAGAAAGGAGTACTTGTGGCACCTTAGAGACTAACCAATTTATATGCATCCGATGAAGTGAGCTGTAGCTCACGAAAGCTTATGCTCAAATAAATTGGTTAGTCTCTAAGGTGCCACAAGTCCTCCTTTTCTTTTTGAGAATACAGACTAACACGGCTGCTACTCTGAAAGGTATTCACAATAAATTTATTTATAATGCTAATGGAACTTATGGGCAGTGTGTGTGTAATCTGTCACCTTCTGCGCCCAATCCTGAGAGGCTATGGATCTGTTGCAACTCCTAGCTTGAGAGCCTTGCTTTTTAGTTCAAGCTATAAAGTCTCTGAAGGTCCCACGTTCAATACATACCACCAACCAAGATGGTAGCTGTCCTCTGGATTTTCCTAGATTGTCCCCTTGGGATCTGCACTGGGAAGGGGATATCTGTGCATGGATTTCCCTCTTCTGCTCAGATGGTATCCTTCTTCTACTCTCCACACACACCCTGCTGCTTCAGGCCCCACACAGGTTGTTCCGCAGTGCTGTGGCCCATGCTAAGGGGAGGGGGGAAGAGGGTGCACATTATCCCCTCCCCTGGTCCTGTGGTGCTTGCTAGACCTTCTTGCAGGGAGCCAATTGACTGTCTTTCCCCTGAATAATGCAGGGATATCTCTATGAGGGGAGCTGCATATGTGGATTGTGACTTCATTCCCCAGAATTTTTTCACATGTTGCTTTTGTTATCTGGCCCAATGGGGACACAATGGTTTAGAGTGGACACTAGTATTAAAACAAGTAGCAGTAGCTTAAAGTAAAGGACAAATGGAATTTTCAAATGAAAAAACAACAACAGAATCTCTCTGATGATTCGGGTAATTGGATAACAGGTTGTCTGTAATAGTAAATTCAGCAGAGGTGCTCAAAGTGAGAATAGGTAAGTCTATGGAATATACAGGTTAGGAAAGACCTTCTCTCTCTCTCTCCCCCCCCCCCTTAGGGTTTCATGCTGCCTGATGCAGAAGGCTGGACTCGATGACCCAAAATGGCTGGCCTTCGGTTGCAACCCTATTTATGTTTAAAAACTCTAATATAACTAACTGTCTTCAATGATTTTAAGAAGTTGAACTTAGGGTTCAGAAAAAAGGAATTAAATATTAAAAACTCTGAGCAAGTTTTGAAAGTTGTAACTGAATACTAGGTCTGGACTTTTCTATTTATCACACTGGAAAAGAAAAAATCAAAAATATTTAGCTAAGCAATTTCTGAATTATACTGGTATGATGGATTAGTCTTCATTAGTTATGGTAATCAACTAGTGTCATGTGCTGTAGATTTGTGGTTTGAGCATAAAGGAAAAATAAGCAGATTCTGACTTCTAGTGAGAGTTGTATATTAAAAAAATGTGTTGCCAGGTTAGTTTGAGTTTTTACACCTTGGCGTCAGCTCATGGAACAAAAGGGCTCCAGGGGAAATGCTGAAAGTTGATCAAAAATGGAGGAAATGTATCAGTTCACATGTATTTGGATGTACTGCAGAAGCATTATATGTTAATAAAAGGCAAAGAATCAAGTGAGAAAACAGTATGTAATAATAATAATTGTATGTTGCAAGAGGTGTTTTAAATTTCCTGGTCATTGAAAAGATGTTAAGAAATACCTTTTGTGTGTGTGTTTGAATAGCATCAGTTCCCTTCTGACCTGTTGTGAAGGTGATTAAAATTTATACTAAACCTTGCATATGCCTCATATTGCAAAAATCTGGTTTGAGACATAAAATCATCTCTAGAAATATTTCTGTTACATGGCTCTTATGAAAGTTAAACATGTTCCAGGTGCATCTGTTGCTACTTCTGGGCATAGCTAAAACGTTTTTGAAAGTGGCAGGTACACCTGCCATTGCTGCTTGCAATGAAATTCTCAATCTACCAGCTGCCAAAGTGAGGGTGAACAGACTTTCTGAAGTGAGAAAACAGGACAATTGTTGCAGGGATAGAGGTGAAGCGCAGGTGTGTTTTGGCAGCTGATGATCATAATTAGGGCCCTACCAAATTCACGGTCCATTTTGATCAATTTCACAGTCATAGGATTTTTAAAATAGTAAATTTCATGATTTCAGCTATTTGAATCTCTACACAGTGTTATAACTGTAGGGGTCCTGACCCATAAAGGAGTTATAGGTGGGTCGCAAGGTTATTGTGGGGGTGTTGTGGTACTTCTACCCTTGTTTCTTCGCGGGTGCTGGCCATGGCGCTGCCTTCAGAGCTGGCAGCTGCAGAGCGGAGACTGCTGGCCGGGAGCCCAGTTCGGAAGGCAGAGCCACCACCAGCAGCAGCGCAGAAGTAAGGGTGGCATGGTATGGTATTGCCACCCTTACTTCTGTGCTGCTACCTGCAGAGCTGGGTCCTCAGTCAGCAGCCACCACTCTCTGGCCACCCAGCTCTGAAGGCAGCAGCGCAGAGGTAAAGATGGCACGGTATGGTATTGCTACCCTTACTTCTGCTCTGCGGCTGGCGGGGGCGCTGCCTTCAGAGCTGGGCGCCTGGCTAACAGCCGCCGCTCTCCGGCTACCTGGCTCTGAAGGCAGCGCAGAAGTAAGGGTGGCAATACCATGACCTCCCCCCCCCCCCGCCGAAAATAACCTTGTAACCTACCTGCAACTCCCTTTTGGGTCAGGACCCCCAATTTGAGAAACTGGTCTCCCCCATGAAATCTGTGTAGTATACGGGAAAAGCACACAAAAGACCAGATTTCAACACGGTAGACCAGATTTCACAGTTCATGACGTGTTTTTTCATGGCTGTGAATTTGGTAGGGCCCTAATCATAAAGAGACAGGTCTCCTCTTTCCCTCAGCTAAGGTCCCTTGCACCTTTCTTTCTCTAAAGCCCTCTCCTTTTCAGCATAAAAATGGGGACAGGTTGCTGCTCTGTTTGCTCAGTAGTAGCTAAAGTTTAGGACTTTCAACTGGGTTGGCTCTTCATTAATAGAAAAATAGCAGTACAGAGACTCATGGTGTTTCCTTCTAGTGTTCAGCTAACTATTGTTATGGCAACAGGTGCTAATGTCACTGATGTAAAAGCATTCAGGATGAAAGTCTCCATAGAAAGAGTTAAAATGCAGCCTTTGCACCCAAAGAATTGTTAAGAGGACAGAGTGAGTTAAAATGGGTGGGCAGTTAAACCTTTTTGAGGTTCCTTTGTGTTACACTGTAGTTGCATTGCATGATCCTATGTTAGCAGTTTCCGTCTAAATGTTTTCCCAAGTATAAAGCCTGGGAACTGAGGGAGGAAAAAGGAAGTATGTGTTAGGCAGGGGAGATTCTAGGAGAGACCTAGGTACAAGACAGCTTTTGCTTGGTGACAGAATAATAGTGCTTTTACTGAGATTTCTGCAAGAGGGAGTTGCCTATGTGCAGTTGGTGACCCCACCGCTGTTCAAGGAAACAGAAATTGTGTACATTTTGTAAATTAATTACACCAAAAATACCCTGGTTTTGCATCACTGATTTCTTCTCCAACTAAGAAACTGACCTATAAGGTCCAAAAGTCTGCTACCAGTCAGCAAAGATGTAAGAAAATATTCACAAGTCCTGATTGCTTTGAACAAAAACGGGAAAGACAGCAGCAAAGTTTCACAGAGGCAGTTTCAGCTACAACACACAGTCTCCGGCCCTTTTAGCCACTAGTTTCTTTTCCTATAACCTTGTGACTGACTCCCAGTACCCGAACCATGGCCTAGAAACCCTTGAGCCCAAAACTATGCTTTCTTCAACCACACAAACTCTTTTGTACTGAGTACTGAGTGAGGGTTAGGCCAGGAATGACTGGAAGTTTAATTAGCCATTGTCCAGCAATGCAGCAACACAAAAGAACTCTTCAACCAACTTTTGTCACATTTTTCCTTTTCCCTCACTTTCTCCTTTGCACTTTCCCCCTCTTTTTCTCTATCCCTAACCTTCAGTCCTGCAGTACTCCTTCCATCAGTCTTTCTAGTGTTTCCTCTCCTACTCTCTTCTTGCCACACACATTCTTTCTTATTCATCCTTAGTCCTTCATCTGGCTATGTTAAATGTATAATGAAAATATTCAGTGTGTTCAGATTTGCCATGGAATTATTCAAATAAGAATAATAATTAGGAGCATCCTAAAAGTATTTCTAACTTGTAGATTAAAAATGAGTTTCTCCCAGTCACATGAATACCTTGACATCTCTGCGTACAAAAATGTGGTCAAAGAAACTGTCTAAAAAGCTTTAGGTAATTTGAAGCTAAGAAGGGACTGAAGATCTCCAAAGAAATAAAAAACACTAGAAGACTTCAGGTTGCAATGGAGAAAAGGTTGAACAGGATGGGACTGTGCTATTTTTTCAGTCTTGGCTCACAATCCTTTGTCAATAGTGGCATTGGAGTCAATGGTAATATTGCCAGAATAAGGCTGCAAGATTGGCCGAGTAGCTTTATGTGTTAGAAAAAAACCCTGCAGACTGAAAAGTACCAATATGCAATAGAACAGATCTATTACTCTAATTCAAAAGGTTCTTGAGAAAACTGTTTTGTTGTATATTTCAGTATTGTGTCCAGAAGCCTCGAGTTGACTACCTACATCTATGTGTGGGATAACTACAGGCTCTTTGAACTGCGGTGGGACTCACCATGGACCTGGTATATGACATTCCTAGGAGTAGACTTTGTATACTACTGGTTCCATCGCCTGGCCCATGGTAGGACTTAAACAGATTTTTCATTATATTTGCGTGTATGCATATTCCATTTATGTATTCTCAAGGGTCCACTAAGATTCACTTGAACTTTGAGTGGGAGAAACCGATTTTATAGTTTTTTTTATAATATGGATGTGAATGTAGTAAAATGCAAGACCTAGAATTTTAAAAATATTGCTCCTCTGCTCATAGAATACCACAGAAGGAAAAATTTGGGAGGAAATGTAGGTGGGACATGAATCCTACATGTATTGCTCTAATTTGTGCTTCCGGGATTACTTTAATAGTCTGAATGCAGTGGTATAATGGGTTGACTATAAAAGTGTATCCGCATACTTCATTATAATTTGTTATTACAGTAATTCCCAGATCAGGGCCAGATTCCTTGTGTTAATCACTGTATAGTAAATACAGAATCTTTGCTTACAATACACACTTTCAAAAAGGGAGGGGAATGAGAAACAACATATAAACAAAGTACTGATAGGCACATAGCTTGTTAGTTTAATCTTTTAAAAAACATGTTCAGTTTGTACTTAGTTTTTAGGAAAGGGCAAAGGTAAAAATATTTTATGCCCAATTTTTAAAAATGTTTTGTTTATACTAAACTCTTAAATATATAGTTATTTTAATTTAACCCTTGCCTATTTCTATTTTTTTAAAATGTATACTTAAAAGAGATTCTCTCTCTGTCTTATAAAAGAGAAAAAGGTAAGGTTTAAAAAGGATAAAGCTATTTTTTACTCTCATGATAGGGGCCATATAAATACTTAGGAATATTGGATAGATAGGTATTTCTGTGCATATTTTTTATGGAAATGTAGTACTTATGGACTTACCTATCTATCCAGCTATCTACTTATATGACTCTCCAATTACCACAGTGTTTTTGTTCTGACCTTTTCTGTTTCTACATTTGAAAATGTGTTAGAGAAATCCTAACATATGGTCTGATCCAAATCCCACTGAAGTCAAAGGAGAAGCGGTCTATTGTCTAAAGGACTTTGGACTGTGGTCTGTAAGGCACAGCCCCCCTCGGTTCATAAAAGCATTGATGCATCTGGTGTTAGTTTTCTAGAATGCAGGGAAAGCATTAGCTGGTGAAAACAGATCAGTGGAAAATATGGAAGAAGGTAGGAAATTAGGAAATTTGGGTGGCTGAACTGAGGGGGAGTGAAGAATGGTCTGCGATCAGGATTTAGCACAATGCTGGGTGGGTGCTTAATTAGGAAGGGAAGAAGATAATCAGACAGACAACAGTGATATGGGGAGGAACTCAGGAGTTCATTGGGGAGAGAAGTAAGTGAGGAAGTGGATGGGAGTTGGAACAATGCTAGGGGAAGGAAGAATTTGCTTCTTTGTGAGTAGCTAAGTTTGGTGTGTGGGAAACTGGGAATATGTGTCACAAAAAATGACATCAACAGTACTTGGAGAATTAGATCATAGTGCTGAAGACTGGAAAAACTCAAAGGACACTCCCATTTCTTTTTAAATAAAATTTCTATTTAGTGAAAAGTATTACTAGAAAAATCATATAAATGGATCTGAATTTCCTCCCATTGAAGTTGGTAGCAAAACTCCCATTGACAGAAAAGAGGGAAGGATCAGCCCCTAAATCTCTATGAACACATTTCGTTAATTTCTTTTTGAGAGTAGCTCTGAAGGTCATCCAGCTTCTCTGTTTATGCAGAGAGGGAGAAAGGTGTTGTGTTAATAACCTGCTTGTAATTCCACATTTTTAGGATTTGTCTGTACAGCCCCACAGTTAAGTCTATGGGGTATCGCAGAGTGCACTACGTGTTACACTGTAACTCTCCCGTGTGGACACTGTGGGCACAAAGTAAAAGGTACCTAGTTCATAGTAATGTAGTCCAGCTTGAAAGAAGACTACATTCATGTGAACTAGGTACCTTTTTAGTTTTCACCAGCAACATGTGCATGGGGGAGTTATACCACAGCACACTATTGCATGCTGCAGTTCAGACCCCCATAATCCAAACTGCAGGGCTATGTAGACGTAGCCACAAAATGGATCACACTTGTAATTAAAATGTAAAATTCCAGTTCATACATAATAGTCCGTAAATGTAGTTCAGAAAGTTGTTCTGTTGCAAAACACTGGTCTAGTCCAAACAATGTTGGTGTCATAGAACCATGCTATATAAGTAAGTTCATTATCCTTGAAGGTATCGTAAACTTGCACAATATCAGTTCGGTGCTCCAAATCACGTAACTGACACCACATTCTTATAGAAACCCACTCTACATATAGACAATGGATTAAACAACACTCTGCTCTTTTGTCAAAGAGTGTTGAGAAAATTCAATATCATAATGGCAAGATTGCTAAACAATATATTACTTCAGAACTGGCTAAGCAAAATCTAATGAAAGAGGCACTTTTTAAAAAGAAAGAAGAAACCCTTCTGGAAAAACACTCACCACCTTGATATATTTGGGCGCTGAAGTGTAATCGTGAGTTCAAAAGCTCTTTTTGCTTATAATAGAACTTCAGTCAGAGCCCCCGTGGAATTCAGGAATGGGCCCCACAGTGGCGATAACAGTTGTAGGAACTGTGTACCCAAGTAAATGCAAAGTGTATGAATTTTAAAAGATATGAATGATGGCACTAAAGGACTATGACTTTCCTACACTTGAAAGTTGTTTCATTATTGATGTTTAAGATAAGACAGTTGCACCTAGAATTATGATTTAAATTCATTCTGTCAGGATTCAGACTATTTGGGGAAAGAATCCAAACAATTAGAAATTCAGATATTTCTCTTGTAAAAAAAACCAAAAACCCAGCCTTTGAAATAAAATCAAGCTTTGACTTAGTGTTTGAGAAGCTGTTTTCCTCTTTCCTATGTGTGTGTAATAGCCATGATCACAGACTGAATTCACAAGTGTACTGCAAGGACAGGATGCGTTTCTTTGATGTGATCTTACTTTTCAAAGGATGGTGTTACTCTCAGTGTCCTTATGTGTATGTGTTTCATTGTTTGCAATACTCGCTAAGGAGCTTGAAAATAATCTTTTTTACTACTTAATTGACCTCTTCTGGGGCCTGATTCAAAGTCCACTGAAGTCAATGGGAATAATTTCCGAACTGTGGATTTTTTTTTTAATGTTTTTAATGGATTTAATTTTACCTGTTTTGTTTGTGGAATAACCTCACTATGGCCTAGAAACCAGGTTTGCTAGGTTTTCTGCTTCAGTTTTCAGAGAAGGATAGGTGTGGGATTGTATTACTAGATATTTTTAATCCAGGTACAATCCCGACCAAATTATACACTTTTAAGGTGGTTCAAATATGGATCTGACTTACTAGTCTGATTTACTAATATGCTGGATGATTCTGACACTTGGAGCGGTTTCTGATCTCAAAGCCTGGAACAGGGACCTTAACGTTTCTTTCAAACTTAAATTGTAAATTGAACTTTGAAAGCCTTCTGCTTTTGATTTTACCTTTCCAAGTAAAGGACCCAGGGCCAGAGGGAGTGTTCTGTGAGGAATTCTATGCAGGGATTTCCCAAAATTGTCTGGTCATAAAGTGGTGGAGGTTTGTCCTTCTCCTACCTCTTCAGAAAAGGACATCAGGCCTACCCCACACCTTGAGCTTTCCCCAAGTATCTGTGGGAGGGCCAGAGACACCACAAAAGCTTTGGTTCTCAGACGGCATGCTGCTTCTGCTCTCTGGGGGATAAGACTCTCTGGCAGCATGTCTCCCCAGGACATCATACTAACATGGACTTTATACTGGCCAGGGAGCACCCCATGGATCCCAAGAGAGATGGTGGTTATATGGAAAGGGTAGTACAGCCTGCTGTAGTATTAACTTTTCTGGTTTAGTTCCACAGGGCTGGAGAAAGGATGATGTGCATTCCCCATGGCCCTGGCTTGTCCATTTAGCCCACAATTTTCACCCAGTCCCCCAACAAGGATGTTTGGTCATGTGGAGAGGACTTGACTGGGGAGGGCGAAGGGATAGTGCTGATGTAGCCTTCTTTGAAAAAGAGGAGTAACCCATGTGTGGATTGAAGGAGGTGGTATGCCACAATCTGTCCCAGAGAGAGAATTGGGGATTCTGAATGTACAACAATGAAAGCTGGACCAGTGCCCTAGTCAACAGAGGATACCAAGTCTAGTACTAAGTTCATTAAAGGATATTTTCTTTTTTGCATCAGTGAGGACTGCAAGTTTTTGATAGAAAAGTGTAACACTTATCAGAATGTGTTTGCCACCTCTATTGCTTTGGAATTTATTGTCAAATTTTATGGCTCTTATTTATCTGACCCTTTCTTGCCTTTATGCGCTGCCTCTTATCTGTGGCTTCTCACATTCTCTGAAGTCAGCACAATGTGAATGGATTGTGAGGTAAGACCTGATATAAAGGTTAATGGAATATTGGAAGAACTGTAAATTTAAAGGATTCATTGTGATTTGTGAGACTGTTAATTTGAGAAACAGCAATGTAAAGTGGTGTGTGACTTTTGTGATTGGAAATGTGGTCAGAAAAAAGAAGATTCCTCTCGAGATCCAAAAACATTCCAACTTTCTTGTACATAGCAGTAGCTCCAGATTTTAAACATTGTCTGTTTTTTATATGATAAAATGAAGCTGACCACATGAATGAACACCAGTATAATGATGTTGAGTTTAGGAGTGATATTTGAGAAAATGCAGATTGAGAAAGGTGTGATCTTAGCCAAAGAAAAATAGAAAACATGGTGACGTGTAAAGCATCTGGGTAATATTCGGCTCTCATTCTTCTGGGCACAGTGGGAACTTCTTCTGATTGCAATGGGAATTGATCCCCAATGATAAAGGGAACTATATGTGCATTTTAGCAATTCTTTACCTTTTCATAAACAAGATTTAATCTCCCCCCATAGACAGATGTGAATTTCAAGGCAAATGTACTTAAAATATTTTAACTATTAAAGAAAGGATCATGTTGAATGTTAACAGGCCAAAATATTACCCTCCCACACGTACAT